TCAGCATCAGCATCATCATCATCATCATCAGCAGCATCATCATCATCATCATCATCAGCATCAGCATCAGCATCAGCATCATCATCATGATCATCATCATCAGCACCATCATCATCAACATCATCATCATCATCATCATCATCATCATCATCATCATCAACTTCATCATCATCATCATCATCATCATCATCATCATCATAATCATCATCAGCAGCAGCACCTCCATCATCAGCATCATCATCATCATCACCATCATCATCATCATCAGCAGCATCATCATCACCAGCATAAGCATCAGCCTCATCATCATCAGCAGCATCAGCATCAGCATCAGCATCAACATCAGCATCGGCATCAGCATCATCATCAGCATCAACATCATCATCATCATCATCAGCAGCATCATCATCATCATCATCATCATCATCAGCATCATCATCATCATCATCATCATCATGAACAGCAGCAGTACCACCATCATCATCATCGTCATCGTCAGCATCATCGTCATCATCATCAGCATCATCATCATCAGCATCAACGTCATCATCATCATCATCGTCAGCAGCAGCATCATCATCATCATCAGGAGCATCATCATCATCACCATCATCATCAGCATCGTCAGCATCATCATCATCAGCATCATCATCATCATCGTCATCATCATCACCAGCAGCATCATCATCATCATCATCAGCATCATCATCGGAATCATCATCATCATCGTCATCATCATCATCATCAGCAGCAGCATCATCATCATCCTCATCATCATCATCATCATCATCGTCATCGTCATCGTCATCGTCATCGTCATCATCATGATCATCATTATCAGCAGCAGCATCATCAGCAGCCAGCATCATCATCATCATCATCAGCATCATCATCATCATCATCTGCATCATCATCATCAGCAGCAGCATCATCATCATCATCAGCAGCATCATCATAAGCAGCATCAGCATCATCATCATCAGCATCATCATCATCATCACCATCCTCATCATAAGCATCATCATCAGCATCACTATCATCAGCATCACTATCATCAGCATCATCATCATCAACATGAGCAGCAGAATAATCATCATCATCCCCATCCTCATCCTCATCCTCCTCCTGCCTCCTCCTCCTCCTCCTCCTCCCGCCTCTTTCTCCCTCCTACTCGTGGGGCGCGCTTCGACTAGAAGGTCGAGGGGAACCCAGACGCGGCGACGAGAGGACTACCAAAGGCCTAAAATGGATCAACAAAAAAGAGGGCACCTGGGTGATCAAGGTTCGGGGAGCGGGGATCGAGGTTCGATCGATGATCCTCCATCCTCCCACCCTCCCCCCTCATCATCCCACCCCTCCTGGGCAGAAACCCGGGCCCCGCTGCGGCTGGGGCCTGGTGCCGCCTGCAGCGAGCAGACCTCGGGAAAGAGGGGGAGAGAGAGGGAGAGAGGGAGAGAGAGAGAGAGAAGAAAAAAAACATGCAGAGAGTAAGAGAGCAAAGAGAGAGAGAGAGAGAGTGAGAGAGAGAGAGAGAGACAGAGATAGAGACAGAGACAGAGACAGAGACAGAGACAGAGACAGAGACTGACAGCCAGAGAGGGAGAGACAGAACAAACAAAAACAAAAAAAAAGAAACGAGAGAGAGAGAGAGGGCCGCCAAGGGGGAAATAGGAGGGAAGGAGCAGCAGGAGGGGGAGAGGGAGGAAAAGGAAGAGGAGCAGGAGAGGAAGGAGGGCAAAGAGGGGAAGTGGGAGGGAGCAAGAGAGAGGAGGAGAGAGAAGGGGGAGGGGGGAGTAGACGAAAGCAGGAGGGAGGAGGAGGGAGGAGGAGGGGAAGGGGGGAGACGAGGAGGAGGAGAAGGAAAAGGAGGAGGAGGAGGATGGGGAGGAGGAGGAGGAGGAGGAGGAGGAGGAGAAGAGAGGAGGATAAAGAGGAGGCGGAAGAGACGGAAGACTGATGCGGGAGAAGGAAGGAGGCGGAGGAGCAGGAGAGAGTTTGAGGTGGAAGCGGGAGATCGAAGAAGACAGGCGGGAGCGAAGAGGGAGGAGGAGCTGGAGGAGGGGACAGAAGAGGGAGGCTCAAGAAGGAGTTGTCCACCTCCTCCTGCTCCTGCTCCTCCCCCAGCTCATCATTATCAGTATCATCATCATCATCATCATCATCATCATCATCATCATCATCATCATCATCATCATCAGCAGCAGCATCGTCATCATCATAATCATCATCATCAGCAGCAGCATCATCATCGTTATCATCATCATCATGATCATTATCATCAGCATCATCATCATCAGCATCACCATCACCATCATCATCAGCAGCAGCATCATCATCATCAGCATCAGGATCACCATCATCATCAGCAAAGGCAACATCGGCAGCAGCAGCAGCCGCAGCAGCATCAGCATCATCATCCGCATCAGCATCGTCGTCATCCTCAACAGCAACATCAACCTAATCCGCCGCATCAGCATCATCAGCGTAGTCCAAATCATCACAAGAATCCTCATCAGTATCGGCATCGTCATCACCATCACGATCACCAACACAACCATCATCATCATCATCATCATCATCAACAGCATCGTCATCATCATAAGCATCATAAGCATCATAAGCATCATAAGCATGGGCATCACCAGCATCAGCATTATCATCGTCAGCAACAGCAGCAGCATCATCAACAACGACATCACCACCACCAACAACAACCACCACCACACACAGCATCACCATCATCATCAGCATCATCATCAACAACAACACAGTCAACATCATCATCATCATCATCATCAGCAGCAGCATCATCATCAGCAGCATCATCATCTACGTCATCATCAGCATCATCATGAGCCTCAGCATCATCATCAGCAGCAGCCGCATCATCGTCATCATCAGCATCATCATCATCATCAGCATCAGCATCAGCATCAGCAGCAGCATCATCCTCATCATCAGCATCAGCATTACCATCATCAGAATCAGAATCATCGTCGTCATCATCAACAGCATCATCAGCATCATCACCAGCATCATCCCCAGCATC